TCAGGTCGTTCCGTTTTCGCCCGAACTGCGGCGCTGCTTGTGTGGCCGTCGTTAACTACCTAGCCGTCCTCCTCCTCCAACGCCTTTCACCACCGTCATCGGTCTGTGAATCACTCGCAAGAACTGTGCCCCCCCCAGAATCCTGTTACTATCTAACCCCCTCACATTTCAACCCTCCTTATTCGAATAGTTCACTTTATTTTCTCTACTGACAGTGATTCCTCCGGGTCCGCGGACTCCCAAGTGACGGCGTCAACTGGACACACACACTCACAGACCGAACCGTGCGGGAAATCGAGGAAACGTTTTTTTCCCTTCCTTCTTAAGGAAACCCGAAGCGACGACTGAGCAGACGAAGTGAGGGCGTCCGCAAAGCAGGATGTTAAAAAGAAATAAGAATAATAAGAAGAAGACGAGGCTGCTGTTCTTCGGGGTTGCCACTGCTGGGGGTTTTTGAGGATGGGCGTATCTCGACGTCGGTTTTGAGGGCGGAGTTGAGTTGTCAGGGAAATCTCTCTTTCTCTCTCTTTCCCGTGCCTTCTTCTACTTCTTCAACACGCGGTAACATAAGACGCTTCCCCCACCCCAGTTTTCTGGACGGGAGGGGTAAGGGGGAGTGGCTGTGGCAGGCGACCACGACCAAGGAAACGAAAGAAGCAGGGAACTCTCCACTCCTCCTTACATCCCCCTCCCGCGCACCAGAGGGAGATGAAAATAAAAAAGGGGGTATGTTGGAGGCCGTGGGTGACGGCGGCGAAGGTAGTGGTGTTGAGGATCACGATAGTGGCGTCCGTGGTGGAGGTAGTAAAAACTTTTTTGTAGTTTTGCGCATGTCAAGACGTTGAAGACACGTTTTTCTCTTTCTTTCGCCTTTGTCTCATATTTTCCACCCTTCACCCGTTCGTTCTGCAACCTTTCAGACGCAGCGCCCTTTTCTTGAGGTTCCTCGACGTGTGGCTCTCCGTCGGGACGCCGCTACTACCAGATCCAAAACATTCAGCCTTAGCTAATCGCCGAGAGACACAGAGTGCGCAGTGGTCTGCCGCGCAGAGACATACAAGGCCGTGATACTTTGGGATTGTTATGAGCATCGTACAACCGATCTTATTAACAATCATCAATGTATTATTAGTGTTAGTTTTGTAACATTGTCTGACACCATATCCCATTTACATTTCCTGTCGCCAATAACACGTTTCACTATTTAAGATCAACATGCCTCAGTTGTACGTCTCATTTGCTCGGTAATTATTTCGTAATTTTCTTGAGTCTGTCTAGGCTATTCTGAAACAGTACTGCGTACTGTTCTGTCGTATGAATCAGAAAGGATACGAAGTTTGTTTAGAGCTTCTACCGATGTTTGGGAGGTAGAACCTGATCCCAACTTCAGTCAGAATGCAGGCTGCCTCCTGTCTTGAGTCAGCCTCTCGGCGTAAGTGCAGAGTACTTTGAAATAGGCCATTAGTCTCCTTTCAAATCCTTTCTTACTTGTTGTTTATTATCATTCACTCTAATTTGAAGCTGTGTGACATTTGAAGTTGGAACAGTGTCATTAAACACAAAAGAATCAGTGTTAAAAAATAAGGGCCTGACTTGCTTAAAGTGAATCAAATGTAAAGTAATTCGCTGTGCGGAGCGCCTGCAGATCTGTGTTTAGACTACACGCCACGTAATGCTGGCGGAGAAGTTGCCGATGGATGAAGGCGAACAACGTTCGCAGATAATTTCTGACACAGGTAAAGGCTGAAGTGTTCGATATTTGCGCTATAACTTGAAAGCAAAGCGGATACAATATGAAGCAGATAAATCATAGACCTTCAGTTTTAGGGCAGATCTTATTCCCATGTGTTCTTTGCACAGATTTCAAGAAATGAATGCGACTTCGTGTATATCGGTTACTGTATTTCACCTCTCACATTCCACAGTTTAATTTATTTCGAAGCTGGAGGGGGAGGTTGGCTGCATTACACGTTGTTTCGCTCCAATATAACCCATACTTTACATCAACTTCCAGACGACTACACCCTTTTTCTTAAAATAAAAATGATTGCTCATTTTATAAAACGTCAATAGGTACTTTAAAAACACTTTTATATGCGATGTTTGATTTATGTAGTATGATTAGCTTCGCTAAAACGTCGGTAAACTTCTAGCAGACTTCACGGAGCTACATCCTAAATGACAGTGATCTTCATCACCACAAAATGTTTACCATGAAATGTTAAGACGTGAAGTTTTTAGGTTAAGTAATACATTTGCAATGGAGGACCAGGTTTTCATCACGAAGTCTTGGGAAGTCGCTTCTTTGGCTTGGTTGAGGTGAGACGGGGTGGGGGGAGAAACTACTGGGCACGGAGGTGGTAGAGAAGGGGTTACGAGGTGGAGAGGAGAGTGTCTCTCGTTGTCTTGGAAACTAGAACACCATCTCCGTGGAGATGCTTTCCACTCTTTTCATGTTCTGGTTATCCCTGAGGACGAGGCCTGTCTCGCAGTGAGCGAGCCGTCTCATAAGACTCAGCTTCAGGCGCTGTGCTCTAACAATGGAGCTCGCAACGCGAAATCTGTTGTCCCAGCGCGTGCGCTAGACTTTGTCATTACACGGCCTCAACACAAAGGGCTGTAGGACAGTACATTAAAACAAACCACGACCACTTCCACTTATTTCTGCATTATCCGCGTACATCACCTGGCGTAATGCAGTAAAACAACCAAATTACGTAAAATTACTTCATTCATAAACACGTATCGATTGTTGTCTTCTGGGTTGTGACGCCGTGTATACTCGTATGTAATTATCCGAGTGTCGAAAGAACGTGTCGCCTTCACCTACAAGGTTATACCCAGAATCGTTCTCATGATGTACTGCAGTTCTGTAATATTTTCATGCCTTAGGATGTCTCGCGTATGTTCACTCTGTTGACGGTATTTTTTATGTACAGTTTATTTAACGACGCTAGCTTAGACTACAGGCCTATGGGGTCGAATGAGAGGATAATTAGTGAATCAGAACTTGGAAAAAATGGAAAGGAATTGTCGTGGCCTGATTGAAGGTACCTTCTATCCCGGCATTTGCCTCCAGTAACAGAAATAAAGGTTTCGGGCCAAAATATGTATTTCGGGCCTTCGAATACGAAGCAGAAATCTTGTCCCCTCTGCTCTGACATTCGGTGATAGTCTTCTAAAATGTAAAATCGATTGCGGTTTAATGTGACTTACTTACGAATTTTCTCTAATTTCATTTATTATATTGTTTTAAATACTTTCATTCATATAATTTTAATCTTGGAAAGTAGTTTTAACATTTAATACTGTACATTATTCACTCCTTTACAATTGCGATGTCATTTTATTTTAAGATATTTGCTTATTATTTGAGTTGATTATGGAAGTAAGTCACAAATCTGCAAAATTATCGATTCTTATACCTTGTTGTATGAGATGTTGATTTCGTAAGCCTCTGAGAATGGTGTGGCTATTACAACAAATGGGTCGTGCCTTTATCAGACGAATCATTGAGCGCCAAACCTCGGCGTGGTTGCTGCAGTCACAAAGAACGCTGATATTTTATGTTTTACCTTAATACAAAGACCTCCCCCCCGTGGATTTACTCCGTTATTTTGCTATAACGGAGGAGAGGAACACGAAAACAGTGCAGGGGTGTTATGAATTCAGGTTCTCTGTCCATAAAACATTTTGACTACCATATAAATTTTAAACACAGTCAAAGCTTCTGAGAACTAAACCCTGAGTAGAACTGGTTATATACATCCTGAATCCAAGTACAAAATTTTACCTCTACACCAAATCGAACGCCACGAATTCTGTTGTCAATCGGAAAGCCTAAAATCTTGAATCAAGGTTTTAGTCACTCAACGTGTCCCTTAAAATAGGCCACGATCGCGTTTTTCCACTCCCATTAAATGAAGGAAGAAACGTCTCGGTGGTGGGAGTTAGTCGACTTTCTGAATGCCTGCTGACTTTTTTCCCTATGTTCCTTGTCCCTGAAACAAACATTGGCCGCGTGGAGTGGCGTCACGATGGCCACCTCTCATTTCAATCGCTTGTTATCTCCCCCCCACCCGGCTAACATTTGTCCCGCTCTTCAACGCCGGTACCACTTTGTACTCTGCGACAC